TCAGTTCAAACCCATGTTTAGTAACGAATCTGAGGCAGAGGAGAGGGCTTGCCAGTCCCTCAGGCAGCTCTGCACCACTCCGTTGGGCTCCACTTGGCTGGGGCGGGGTGGAGGGTGGGGGGGTGAGGGTGGGAGGTCGGGGGGGGGGGAGGAGAAAGAGGCGGTGGCCACGTGTGGTCTGGGAGTCCCAGCATGGTCCCCTCCAGGCCTGGGGGACTTGATGCTGGTCTGCTGAGCCCTCGCCAGGGGCCCTCTGCTGCCAATACTGCTTACTATGGGCAGGCTGGCAGGCGCCAACCTTATCTTTCTGAGCAGCCTCAGTGAGCACATTCTTGGTGCCTTCCCTCCTGGGTCCCAGCCCTCAGCCCCTCTGATCCCGGAGGTTCCAGGGCCACTGGGCTATGGCTCTGGCTCCCAGGATTGCAGATTGCTGACTGGTGGCTTTCCCAGGCCTCCCAAGGGTAGGTTTTTGCTCAGCCCACCTGGGCTGGCCTCTGCCTCCTCAGGGGCAGCCAGCTTACCCAACTTGGGGTCGGGTGAGTGCAAGGCCACCAGCACTCAGCACACTGGGTCCCAGAAGCCTCAGTGGATGAAATCCAGATAAAACAAGCCTCACTCTCAGCCACGGAGACACTTTCAGTTACCTTTCCCCTGGGTGAAAATTGCTCCAGGGCAAAAGTTGCTAGCTGCTGGGGCAGAGTCCTTTTCAAGAGACCTTCTTACAGCCAGCAAACAGAAACTGCATGGCTCCCCCCCCCCCCAGTCCCAATCTGTCTGTCTGTGCCTCCCATAACAGGCACATCCGCCAAGGACCCCTGTGTCCTGAGGCTAGAGGGCTTTCAATCGCCTCACAGTATACAAGCTCCAGCAAAGTTCTTTCCACTGCTAAGAGTCGAGGCTTCTCGTTTAGCAACTCTGGCTCCAGGAGGAAACCCAGCTGCAGCCAGTCACAGCTGCTGTACCCCTGGCTCCGTCCCACCTGTTCTACCAGGCGTCCTCAGCACCCTGCCCTGCTCACACTACCAAACGCTGCTCCCAGGGTAGCCCCAAGGCTCTGCTCCCAGGGTAGCCCCAAGGCTCTGCTCCCAGGGTAGCCCCAAGGCTCTGCCGCATCGAGTCTGCGGGGCACTCTGCAGCCAGGGATTCTGGCTCTCAGTGCTCCAGCTGCTGGGGTGCAAAGTCTCTGCTGCACTCTTCAAGCTGCTGCCTGCCACTTGCCTCTCTGGCGGCGTGGCTCCTTCGTGGCAGAAAACACACAGAACCCTTCTACTTTGGCTGGCTCTTGGCGTCTGCTGCCTGGGAAGCTATGATGCCCCAATGGGTCTCAGCCGCCGATTCCTTCCCTGGGGCAGCTGCTCACACTCTGCTGCTGCTTTCTGAAGCTGACGGTCTCTGAAGTGGCTTTTCATTTTCGGACTGCCAGGTTCGCAGGGTCTGCTCAGTGCTGGACGCGGCCCCGTGCGCTCCAGGTCCCACTTGGGAAAAATCTGCTCTTACCCTAAGTGACTTTATTAAACCTTCACCGTATCCCTAGACCTAAAGCCTATTCTACCCTAATATACCTAAGCCTACACTTCTGGAACTAGACTTCACCAAACTGTTTTACAGCTTTAGAGAGAGAGAGACAGAGAGACACTTGCTGCAGGCCACCTTTAACTACTTGCTACAGCTTAACCGTAGCCACTCTGCTTTATATAAACAGTCTCACTCCTGGAATACTACCGCATACACTAATTCATAACTGGACATGTCCCCCAGCTTCCAAGGTGCCCCCTCCCTCTCTTACCCTCTGCACCTAAGTCCCACGGTCTGGCACCATCTGTGGGAGGCCAGCTCCGACCTTTTGAAGGGTTCTTATGAGAGAGGGATTTAAAAAATACTAAATAGAGAGACCTAGTTGACAAGAAGAAACACAAGAGTAGCTTTGGGAAGGCCTAGATCAATACCCAACCGCCTCAAAGGTTTATTCAAAAGGCTTTTTATAACAGGCCAAGGGGAGAGGCAAAAGACCTCCCCCTTGCAAGTTCAAAGCACACCATAGAGTCAGGTGCAGACCCTTCCAAACACCTGATAACCACAGCTGTGGTCAAATCATCCCCTTATGCAGCCTTCCTAGGTAAAGCAAGCCCAGATTCTCTGACCCTGAGTAATTTGGGCCTCCACAATACCTTGGTAAGTTTTTGGCTGCTTTCTGTCTTTGTCCAAAAAAGTCTGTCTGAGGCTAAAATTGAAGAGTTATGGATTAAGAGCTTTGGCAGAAGAGATTTCAAGACATCCTAGTATTGACTGTGTTGTTCGTTTACTAGTGGCCACACTTAGGAAGATCTATAATGAAAAGGAGCAAGCAGAGCTAGAAAAAAATACAAAATGTACAGTTTGAGGAGAAAATGGGCACCAGGAAGTGTAAACAAGTTAAAGAAAAGCCTGATGCTAAGTGGAATAAAGGGAGCGATGACCTCAGAGCAAGACCCCACCCAGCTAAGCTTCCAACGTGTGAAAAGGAATTACATGAAAGCTTAGGGCTGGGTGTGGTGGGGCACACCTTTAACCCCAGCACTCATCTCTGAATGTGAAGCCAGCCTGGTCTACAGAGCGAGTTCTAGGTCAGCCAAGCTTAGGCAGTGAGGGAAACCATCAAAAGCAGAAAGCTGGTGAAGATGTAATTGAACAAGGGGGCCATGTTCCAGCCGCAGCAAGCAGCAGACATTGGCAGCTTCAGCCACGTGGTTCTGGCTCTAGAGTCAAGGATATAAGAAAGGGGCTATGGAATCTCCTCCATGGAGGCCTAGAGAGGCTTTTTCATGAAGCCATTAAGTGGAAGCCTGGGTTGCCTTGGAGACACCAAGATGTTGGAGATGCCAGATCCTGGTATACGTGCCAAGGAAAACTGCTAACAGGGAGTGGAACCAGCCCAAGAGAAAGAAGTATTTTGTAGTCAACAAAGCTTAGAGGAGTTGGAGATCTGAAGAGTGCTTTGACATCAGATGTGGAGATGAGCTGAGTTTTGGTCTTGCTTTGGTCCGGTATTTCCTCACTATGCTCCTTTTCTTCCTGTTTGGAACAGTAATGCATATTCTGTGCCATTATATGTTGGAAGTAAGTGATCTCCTCTTTTATCTTTATTTTGCACAGGGTTACAGTTAAGAGATTGTCATGAGTCTCTGAAGAGACTTTGCACTTTTAAACAGGGTTGAGATAGACTATGGGGACTTTTGAAGTTGGACTGAATGCATTTCTGCATTATGATATGGCCAGGGAGTGGACTGTGGTGGTTTGAACGGAAGTAGCCCTCATAGGCTCATATGGAATGGCACCGTTAGGAAGTGTGGCCTTGCTGGAGTAGGAGTGGCCTTACTGGAGGAAGTGTGTCACTGGAGGTGGGCTTTGAGGTTTTAGATGTTTAAGTCAGGCCCAGTGTCGCTCTCTCTTCCTGCTGCCTGCTGATCCTGATGTAGAACTCTTGGCTCCCTCTCCGGCACCATGTCTGTTGATGTGCCACCATGCTTCTCTCCATGATGACAATGGACTAAACCTCTGTACCTGTAAGCCAGCCTCAATTAAATATTTTCCTTTATAAGAGCTGCAATGGTCAAGGTGCCTCTTCACAGCAAGAGAAACCCTAATTAAGACCCTGATTAAAAAAAAATACTTCAACTTTTAATCCCTACAAGTTAAAGTCTTTGGGCAATGTTAGGGAGGGAGTGGTTTCTTAGCAAGCTTTATAGACAAGACTCGGAAGCCACCCAAATCTCACATATACCTATTGTAAAGAAACCTAACTGCAGCTCTCCCTTAGAGAAGCCTGACACATCCTAGTTGGTGTGCTTGGCCCTCTCCTGGGGCACCTTTCTGTTTTCAATCAGCCTGACTTTGCCTCACATTTGACTCGCCCTGAAATCCACTGTCTAAGCCACGAGTCCTATTGCGTCCAGTTGAAGGTCCCTGAAAAGAACTCTCCGGGAAGCTGCTGGTGTGGTGTGCATCTGTATCCCTATGCCAGCGACACAGGACTGGTCACAGCATAGGTTAGGACTAGTTCTCTGAACTTTCAAATCGCCTCTTTCTGCTTCAGTGTGGAGGGGGGAGATCCCAGGAGCTGCACAGTTTGAGCAGAGTTTCAGCGACTCCAGAACTCTCAGAGCAGTGACACTAGTTTTCACTTACAATATATATTTAGCAGTAATTGACTGTAATTTGGTGGGGTGGGGAGAAGAAACAAAAGGAAAAGAAGATGGCGTTTTATGCAATGTTATACAAAAATGTAACAAGGACTTGAAAATGAAGATTACATAAAGAACTAAGAAAGGCTCAGGAAAAAGCCACAAACTGCCTTGCCGCTATACCGTTTTAGAAGTAGCACGTGGTCCCTTCGGCATGGGGAGATAAAGGAATCTAACAAGCGTAGACCGAAGTGACTTTGAAGCTCAGGATGCCCAGCACGCAGAGCTGTTCAACATATTGAATTTTACAAAAAACGGGTGCTATGCTTTGCACTGTAACTTTATAGACATCAGAGATGTATCCTTTACTTTGTGTGTGTCTCTATTCCTTATCTGCCTCATATGGGCAGGTTATACACAGACTATTTCACTAAGAAAATGGTCAATGTACTGTTTGGGGCTAGGTCAGGCTCACGCTGATCCTCTTGCTCCGTTCTAAAGTTTACCCGGGTTGAGGATTGCTGTCTAAAAGCATGCACTAACTCGATCTGTTCCTGTTTTCACTCATCAGTTTTCAGCAAATGCCATTTCTCTCTTAGATCGTATTTCTGTAACCATTTCAAATATCGACAAAGAGCTCCACAAACACAAGACCTCAACTCCTCTGAGGGTTTTGCTTATGATGTGTGTGGCAAGCGTGACTATTGTGTTTAGTTAAGTGGGTGAAAAGAGTTTTCTTCCATGACTTTTCTCGGTGAGGAATAATGTCTGGCTCACCTTACGATCGGATTCATAGACTGTCCACTGCCACAGTCTTACCTCATGCAAGCAGCACAAAAGAACTCTTCAGGCCTTTATTCATCAAACTGAATGCTTTTCATTTGGAATTCTACTCAAAGAGAAAGTCTGAGAAAATTATGTAGCAATCATCTTCCCCTTAACCTAAAAATAAAATACAAATGTGAATATGTTCACAGCATTTCATGTTCCCACCTCCCCTGTGACCACCCAGAGACATGGCTGAACTGAGAAGAGGAGCTGTGAACCCTCCATGGGCCCACCATCAAGAGTCTGTACAATAACTTCGAGCTCCTTCTCTGATTAGCTGTGTTTTCTCATTTGCATTTGTAGGCTGGAGAACAACTGGAAAGTCCGTATCTGGGGGAAAACACAAAGAAGCAACCATCAGACCCATTTTTACCAAGTTCCTCTGATAACAGGGCACATGGCAGGTGTTCTCTTGAAATAACAAGCAAATCAACTCACAAGACACTGTCTGAATTCTTCGCATTCTGCTATTTACAGGATTATAACTAAACCCAGGTTGGACATGGCGTATTCTGGGTTCCATTTTTCACGAAAGCAACAACATGTATGAAAAATATGTTTCCTATGGAGGATGAGCCCTAAGGTTTTGTAGTCCCTGACTGCATGCTCGGCTCCTGTTGGGGCAGGAGTCAGAGCCCAGGGCTGGCTTAGGTGGAGCTCCTAAGGGAAGTTTAACACATGAAGCTCATGTGCAAAGTAGCCACGCTTGCTCTCAGGTCTCCATGGAGCTCTGCTCTGGTGCCGGGCTGAAGAGGCTTCCTTAAAAATGTCTGATGGCCAACTAATACGCACACAGGTTGGCAGCCCTTGTCTTTTCTGTACCCGTGTCTTCTAGAAGACACCCAGAAAATCATCCACCATAAAGTTAGTTGTTCAACGCAAGGTGGACTCTCAGGAACCTAGCAGAAATGAATGACTTCACATTCCACCTAGCACTAAAAAGTCCCTATAAAACTGTAAGAAACTTGAGCTCATAGTCAACACACACACACACACACACACACACACACACACACACACACACACACCACACAACTCCAAAAGAAAGAGACATAGAGACAATGTACACAAACTGAAAACCTATAGTAACAACAAAAGACAAAATAAGACCCAGAGAGACTTCATTCTTTGCATTTATCTAACAAAATATAAAAGAATTATGTATTTAAAGTTATCAGACTTTGAAACCAACAAAGAGCTAATGATTAAAGTACCTGAAATTACATTTTAAAAACTAAAGAGCTTCAAAAAGCTAAAAGGGAATTCATGAAGTGGAAGACATGTCTGAAGAGATTATTCAGAACATAACACAGACACAAAAAGAAAATGTGATAAAAGATGAAAATCTATGAAGGACAGTGTGAAGACTTAGCCTACACCTAATAATATGCCTTTTGGGATGAAATTACAAAAGTAGGGAAGGAGTATTTGAATTCACAGGTCTAAGAAGCAACTGGATTCTGTTATAAAATCATCTCTTTCTTTTTTTGTTTGCTTCTTTCTCTCTTTGGTGGTGTTGTGTGTTTGTGTGTCCAGGTGTCTGTTTATGTGGGTACACACGCATGTGTGGAGGCCAGAAGACAACCTTAGGTGTTGTTCCTTAGGAGCCATTTATTTACCTAGGTCAACCTTTTGGCCTCCACACATATGGACATACACATATCCTGAACCTATACCACACGTATGCATACCACACATGCACACAAATGGTCAACCTTACTAGTAAACACAAAGACAAAAATTAGAGCCACTGCCCTATGCCATACCCCACACTAGACTGACACGTATTTCCAGGTTGGCACTGTCAAGTGTTGGCAAGGATGGGAAGCTTCAGAAGCTCACATTAGCTCTTAGTAAGGATGTAAATCAACCCCTCAGTTTTGCAGAACTGCTTGGTGCTACTTAATACATTGTAGGTGTGCATACCCCGTGCCTAAGGAATTCTAGTCCTGTGTGTAAACACAAACACCCCTAGCACTCACGGACTGAGATATAAGTATGAGAACATTCCTATCAGCTGTTTAGAATGGCAAATAAAGTGGGGTCTACTCAATGTTCATCACCAGTAGAATGGATACTAAACGAGGGATGCTTTCTCAGAATATTGTTACCGGTGGCTTAGACACTGAAGTTCAGGGTGAGCCAAAGTCAGACTGACTGAAAACAGAAAGGTGTTCCAGGCGAGAGTCAAGTATATCAACAAAGTGAATCTAAGCAGTATAATGTTCAGTGGAGCATAGAAAGTTACAGAAAAATGTTACTATACAACAAGACCATCCATTTAAAACTCAAAATGTGCAAAACCAAGCAGTATGCTGATTAGGAATATAAACACAACTGTGATACCAAAAGTAATTGTAGGGAAGGATGACCAGCAATTCAAGGCGGTTCCTTCTAAGAAGGGAAGTGAACAGGGAGCACCACAGATCAGGGTAACGTTGGTTTCTCTGATGTGAAAAGTTAGGTCACAATATGTGCTTGTATCTGTTTAATAAAAACAATGACAATTAAAAGATCGAAGAAGTGAATTAAACAAAAAAACTTCAAGCACATTTCACAGAATTGGGCCTGACACATCCCCCTGTCTCAGCAGCTAGCAGTGTGCTGCTCTCAATTAGCCAACAAAAGGCTGGGATAACTTTCCCACATCCCACACTTAATAGTTTGCCTTGCTTAGGCCTATTCCCATCCCTTCCACCCCCGATGTTTCTTGTTACCGGGAGTTTTTCAGATAACAGACACACACAATTCACCACCTCTATGGAGCTGCCAAATGTCTCCTTTTCTGCGCTCCCGCAGGCCTAGTGAGCAGGCACAGCCTCGACATGCAGAACGACGCCAGCGAGTTCGTGGACCTGTACGTGCCGTGGAAATGCTCCGTGAGCAACCGCATTATTGGTGCCAAGGACCACACATCCATCCAGATGAATGTGGCCGAGGTTGACAGGGGCACAGGCCGGTTTAATGGCCAGTTTAAAATCTATGCTATCTGTGGGGCCATTCAAAGGATGGGTGAATTGGATGACTCTATTCTCCGATTGGCTAAGACTGATGGAATTATCTCAAAGAACTTTTGACCAGAAGAGATCGGGGAATATTTGTCATAAATAAAAGTGAGAAAGTAAAAACAAACAAACAAAACCCAAATGTCTCCCTGAACCAAAATGTAAGCCAGAGGGACTGCTCTTTGGTCTCCCTTTCCTCTGGGTCCTGGTGACCACCAGCCTATTTTCTCCTCCACTAATTCAGCGCTCCTGAATGTTTTTTACCTCACTGGAATCACAGCACACTTGTCCTTTGTGCCTAGCTTCTTTCACTTAGCACCACACCCCTAAGTCTGTCTCTTTACAGAGTGTACTGGCGCTTCCCTCTGAGCCTCTGTGGTTCCTCTGACCCCCTTTCCTCTCCCCTAGCTGTTCCTGGCACTCTTGTTCTTCTCAGGCAGACTGTCGGAGCATCCAGCTGCCCCTGGTGATTTTGATGTGTTGAGCCCTTCCTTGTATAAACTCATCTTAGTTCAGAGCTCCTTGTAAATACGGCCTTCACAAAGTCTGGCACACTAATTCAGTGATAAAACTGCTTGGTAGAGCCCTCTAATATGATTCCATCTGCCTTGCCTGGTGTATATAATACCATTTACTGTCTTATCTGCAGGCCTTAGGGAGGGGCTGTACCAAATATTTCTTGTATCGAGATTCCTTTATTCAAAGGCTTCCCATCTCCACAGTCTCTCACATCTTGATCTTCTACGTTTCTGCATTAAATGTCACTTTGCTGGGGAAGCTGTGCTAGCCTGAAGACAGGTCAAGCCCTTTCCTGTTCACTTTGACAGCCTCCATGCTTCTCTTCTGGTAGATTTGTTGTGCCTGCAAATTGGCTAACTCTCTGTGTTTCTATGTTTAATATTTGCCTCTAAATCTTATTTGCTAGATTATAACCCTCAAGATTGCAGGAACCAGGTCTGCTAACAGACAGATACCAAGTGCACAATAAATATTTGATATGGAAAGATGATTTCAATTAACACACACACACACACACACACACACACACACACACACACACACACACACACTTCTTACTGAATCTTGGCAGCCAAACATCGAAGATGCACTGTGAGCTGCCTTGCTGGGGACGGTTCTGGGCTGGCTCCCCCATCCTACTGCCCTGGCCTGGTGCCTTAATGCTCAATGATGTCTTTGTATGAAGCATCACAGATTTCTAGTGTTTTTTTTCCTTGCACTGTTCCTGGACACTGGTTCCTCATTGCATGGAGAAGGAGACACAAAAGGAGTAAGGAGCACAAAAGGAGAGAAGATGAATTTACATTTTCCTCCGTGCCCTTTCCCTGGGCAGGCAGATGCGATGAATGCTGAGCAGCATTTGATGTGCGATGCATGTCTCTCTATCTTGGCGGAGAACAAGAGCCATATGGCTGCTTCTGATCGGTGGTTGTGAATTTTTTGGAGTCCTACCCAGGCAAGCGGCAGTAACAACTAAGCCATCAACATTTTTCTGTGTTCTGAATCATACTTTCTTAAACCCAAGGTCAGTACTGTAAATTCTCCTCTCCTTTAGATTCTCTACTCTACTTCTCTCCATAGAAAGGAAGCCACCAATCCACACAAAATTGTTAGTGTTTGCCTGGACAGATTTGGTTGGGTTTAATTCTATTGGTTTCCACACAGAAGAGGGGGGAAAAAACCCTGAATTTAGTCCTTATGTTTTTGATGACTGGCTGCAATTTAGATTTTTGTTGCTTTTATTCCTTGTTAAACACACACAGGGAGTGGGAGGGGGAGAGAAATAACTTCACAGAATATGGTTCTATCACAGCTGATGGAATTCAGATTTCTCTGCGGCTTTCAGATGTCAAAGGAGCACATGGCCTGTTTTAATCATGCCTCTCAAAATTCCAGAGTGGGGTTTCTAAAGGTGAACATGTGAGAGTAAGGGACATAACATTTCACTGGTTAGGTTTTAATTCTTCATAGACTAACAATCACCCAAGATAAGCTCTTTTGATATCGACTGATTTCCAAGAGCACTACAGTCCTCCTAGGTTCGAACTGGGAGGGTATTTTAAGAAAGATAGGAGAACCCAATTGTGAGTTCTCCAACTGGCAGCAAATGCTGAAGGACAGCACTGTCGGAACTGTCTGCCCTTCATTTTTTCAAAATTTTATGTGCATGAGTGTATTGCCATGGGTGTCAGGTCCTCTGGAATTGGAGTTCCAGACAGATAGGAGCTGCCATATGGGTGGTGGAACTTGAACTTGGGTCCTCTGGAAGAGCAGTCAGTGTTCTTAACCACTGAGCCATCTCTCCAGTCCCTACCCTTCATTTTTTAATCATAGAGGTTGGGCAATATTCTTCAACATCATCTAAAGAAACAGAACAACCCAAACAATTCTCTCCTTTCTGCCTGAAAATCCCACCCAGCACCACCACACCCCAGCAGAGACCTGTACCATGTTTACCATGACAAAGACGCCTGACAATTCAGCAGAAGCAAACAGTAGGTGTGGCTGAAACACACACACACACACACACACACACACACACACACACACACACACACACGACAGAAGTGTGCAGAGACAAAGCTGCATGTGGAAAATCAGACTTGTTACACTATTTCAACGTCAGTTAACATTTCTAACGTTTTTTAAAGATGAGCCAACAGATTCGATATTTCAAATTTAGATTTTTTACAAATTAAGAAATATAGCATCCTATAATACATTTTAAAGTGAAATTTGAAGAAGGGGTTAATCACTTAATTCAACCAGAAATGTACTTCTCTAGTTAACTCCTTTTCCCTTTTTGTAGTATTTCCTTTTTTCACTGTTTGAGGATTTCACACATGCATATCATGTATTTTGATCAAATCTTCCGTTCCTTCCCCTGCCTGCTTTTCCCTCCCAACTTTCCATGTGCTCTTCTCTTCTGTCAACCCATAGAGTGCACACAGTACCCCCATATATGTCCGTGGATACAGGCCCAGCTGCTAGGGCAGCAGTTCTCAACCTGTGGGTCATGACCCCTTGGGGGGGGTGTCAAATGACCCTTCCCAGGGGTTGCCTGAGACCATCAGGAAACACAGATATTTACATTATGATTCATAACAGTAGCAAAACTACATTCTAAAATAGCAACAAAAACAGTTTTATGGTTGGGCACCACCACACCATGAGGAACTAACTGTACTAAAGGGTGGAGAACCACTGCTCTAGAGCATGATACCGTCTCTCCAAGGCTCCCGGATCATTGCTGAGGGGAGGTTGGGAAGACTCCAAGAGCATAAGTAGTGAACTTTTGCAGGGAAACAGTATTTTCTGGACTTGACAGGGCCATTGCTTATATGAACTCACAGAGGCTGTGGCTGCCCTTACAAGACTTGTATAAGATTAAACCCACCACAGAGGATGGGAAGGATCATGAAGTCCCAGCTCTTGCTAACTCCTGTTCTCCTTTTGGTTGGTATAGTAAGGTATAAGGGAAAGACCCAGTAGTTGTTCATTTTTATTCTGGAAGTAGAATAACCTCATATAAGTTTTTATTGTATTTCATATTTGGGCATTTCTGGATGAAGAACTAACAGGAGAAAGAAATGCTGCCTTTCAGTGTTTACGGAAAAAAAATTTCCAGTCATAACCTTCATTTATGGGTCAAATCTCTAAGCACAGGATGACCAGATGTATAGCACTTAGATGGACAGTTAATATAAACCCTCTTAGCCTATCAATCCATGCACTATACTACCTTAGCTCCCTGTTCCTTCCTCTTCCCAGGGAAATGTGTTCAGTACCAAAATCATCTGGACCACAGACCAGAAAGCAGAGTCCTCAGACAGGGTCTAGTTTCCCACCTTACCAGTCTTAATTTGCATTACAATTGCCAGTAGGCTACACCGGTCTCTGAATTAGTGGAATGTAAATCTGAACCTGAATTGTCAGTAGGTTACACATGTCTCTGAATTAAATTACGTTATCTCAAATGTGAATCTGAACCTAACCATGGCAACTGGCCACAAATGAAGCGTAGCCTCACGCCCAGGTGTTCCCCTAGAGAGCAATGCTGGATTCAGTGCACAGCTAACAAGACTTAAGCCCCAGAGACCCTTACCAATGCAGAACCTAGGGGTCTATTTGCAGAGATGACCTTCAAAAGACATTTTACCAAAATCAGAGAAAGCCCTGTCTCTTTCCACACTGACTTTTCTCATGGCATCTCTTTCTGACAATGGATACAAAAGACCTATTACGAGATTTAGTTAAAGGAAAACTGAATTGAAGAGGAGTTCTGTTTGAATTCAATGGGACTTGATTTTGTGGTTTGCAGTAAGTCTGGGTTTAGCTAGTTATCGCTACCCAGACAGGTGTAGGACTGGCTTAAAGAATATTCCTCCAGCTCACTGTGTCAATGCATGTGCTGAGAGGACACTAAAACCCACACCAGAGACTGTGACACATCATATGAATGTGTCCTCTGAGCTCTGACCCCAGGAGGATTAGATATTATAACGCTAACAAGGTTTGAAATGTACAGAGTAAAGAAGTTGTCTATGGAAAATTGTTCCAATTCTTAATTCCTATATGTGTTAAATAAACATATAATTCCTATATGTATTAAAGGCTTCCCAAATTTGACAATAGTCTCTAACCTTACACACCCCTGTCAACTTGAGTTGTAAAGCCAGAAGAAACTTTTCTAATTCATCAATAATAAAAAAAAGTAAAGTTTGGTCAAACGCAATAAAGACAATTATTTTTATGTTTTCTACAGAAAATGATATAGTACATTTATGTTACATGAACATGCAATCAAATAATATGCAGCCATAGAAAATACCATATAGATGAGCTGGGTAGCTCACGGTTGTATTTTTTCCCTTGATTTTGTGATATACATGGTATTTGTCCATTTTTAAGCACATTAATTTGTTGTGATTCCTTTTTCTCATTTTAAGCAAATACTCATGTTCAGAACTGTGTGTGTGTGTGTGTGTGTATGTGTGTAAGAGCCCTGCCGAGATTGCATAAATTTAAGGATCCTTAAACCTGGGTTGCCCTAGCCTAAGATCTTTCAAATATTTCTAAATAAGAAAATGTCACTCCTCTGTATTAAGGATTAGGATCTGACCTCTGTAATGGAGTTGGTAGCTCTGGAGTGTCAGAACAGTGAGAGGAACAGAGATCCATCACCAATCACCCAGCAGGGAGGAGCCCTGGGGAGAACCTGGCACCTAGTCTAAGTCTCTGTTCCAGAATAGAGATCTTCTACCAAGGTCTACTGAAATGACCTGCTGGAGCTTTTATCCAACCTAACACAGGAAGGGCAGCGAGGCTTTTCAGATAAGTGTGGACGCTGGACTCGGGAGATCTGGGTTCAATTCATCTAGTTTAGGTTTTCCTGCTACAAATCACAAGGAAGAATTGGAAGATGCCACAATGAAACTCTTTAGTTTGCATTCTGACTCAAAAAAGTGTAAAATCGATTCTACCCAGCATAAAAAGAATAAAGATGAGAAAGCTAAGACGAAGTCACCACAGCAGCTGACTCTCATCTCTCTGTCTCCCTGCGCTGTCTATGGCTGAGCATTGGGCCGACTGATGGGGGGAACGAGGAGAAAGATCACGTGTCACCACAGCCAGTAATCCCCGACATGGAATTGTAATGCTGCACCCACAGAGACACCATACCACACCCCACAGACCACCCAGGCACCCTGTCTCTTCCCTTGTGGGAACTGGCATTTCAGTTTCATTCAAGGTCAGTTTCCTGGTTTTCCTGGTAAGTTACAGCCAGAGAAAATGAGTCGTTGCCACAGAAACGAAGTGTGGCATTTCGTTTTTAACTCTTAAGTACCTCCCTTACAAGAGCTTATGTGACCCATGTCCTGTGAGCAAGTTGTGACACAGACCCCACTTTTTCCTAATGGAAGGCCTTTCCATGTAATTAGCACTGCTTAATTCACTTGTTAGTAATCCTGCATGCCTGTTCCTTCTGTCCACCCTCATTAAAAGATTTCATATTTGTCACTGTCTATACCAAATAATGCAAAGTAAAAGTACAATCATTGTATTTTACCATCAGGCCACAGTTTAGTTCCAATATCAGTAACATGAAATGACCAGAATACTTCTAGTTGCTGGGTAGCTATGCCCATAGCAAGATGTTACAGTTTACAGGAAAACAAAACAACACTAACAAACACAAACAAAAACCCACAAAAAACCCCAAACCAAACCAAACCAACAAACCCTCTACCCTCTCTGAGCTCCCAGTTCTGATGGTCTGGGATTCAGTACTATTCGCGTGATTAAAGACATCCTTTTGCTGGAGTCTGGATGGCTCATTCACACAGGATGTTACTTAGCATCACAGCTGATGGGAGGTGCAGGCATATGGAAGCCTTTAAATAGTCTCCCGTGCTGTCTCAGTGTGACCAGAGAACCAGAGGAGTGCTCCGATGTTCTGGTTCCAGCCGTCCTGAAAACAGCGTGCTTCTTTCAATTATCAAGGAATCCCTTCAGTTGTTTGGGGGGACTTGGGAGTGGGATTTAGTGATGGAGAACGCACCCCAAGATGATAACGTACTTCACAGGAGAAAAAGACAGTAAGAATGGCCTCAAGGCAGAGCCGTACAATGGCTGGCCTGACCCTAGATTGCTTAACAAAGACGTTGTCCAAAGACATAAAACCTCTCTGGTGTTTTGAATTCTGTGAGCTCTTTCTTTACAGTTTTTCTTTCTTTCTGGATGTATGAACTTGAAGGATGAAGTAATGTAGCCCAGAGATGTATGCACACGGACAGACAGAGGTGGCTGAGCAGAGTTCATCCTTCACGCTGCTTTGAGGCGATCTGTGAGTGTGCGTATGAGCAAAGAAGCTACATCCAGAGGAAGGGGAGGAGTCTACCTCCTGTTCCACTCCCAGATCATCACACAGCAATACGAAGTCAAGGCTGTGACCTGTCAGTTCTGTGTATTTCAACAGGTATCCTAAAGACTGAAGTGTATGTCCAAGGAGCAATTTCTACCTTAGCTTGTTGTGGAGTATCACTTGAAGATATTTGTTTAATGATGCAAAGATGTGTTGCGTTCTTTTATGTTGCATTTGTTTAACTCTGTGAAGCTGTGTTACTGTGCCTGTCTAAAACATCTGGTGGGGCTGCCAGGCAGAGAGAATAAAGAGAAGAAGAGGGAGGAGTGAGAAAAGGAGAAGGGAGGAGATGATGCCAGGGGCCAGCCACCTAGCCACACAGCCAGCAACAGAGTAAGAAGTAAAGAAAGACATATAGAATAGAGAAAAGTAAAAGCCCAGAGCAAAAGGTAGACGGGATAATTTAATCTGGCTAGAAACAAGACAAGCTAAGGCCAGGCATTCATAAGTAAGAATAAGTCTCCATGTATTTATTTGGGAGCTGGGTGGTAGGCCCCTGAAGAGTTAAAAAAAAAATCAATTACATTAGCTCTCCAGCACTGGACACCCTCACCCTAACTTCCCTGAACCCCGAGCCCATTCCTCTTGTCAAGAGAAGGAGAACTATACTTGTTTTACATCATCATGGGCATTTAATAGTTTCTCTCTAATATTGTTAAGTTAGCCTTTCTCTAAGCTCAGCCAAGGTCAATGCCCTACGTCTTCTCCCAAATATCCACCAAAGATGACAGTCTTGGGGAGTGACCCTGTATGGCCATTGGACCTGTTACCTTAGTAAGACCCACTCAGCTCCGGAACACGATGCCCATGATCTCTACTCTCCACCCGCCCTACCTTTTTCCATGTCAGTCTTGATTTGTTCCTCAAGGTCCTCTGGTGAAACGTAGAAGTCCTCTTCTGCTGTCGATGACTTGGGCCGACATCGTCCACAACAGCAGTTGCAGCAGCAGCAAAGGCAGCAGCAGAAGTAGCAGCCTGTTAAGAGGCCGATGATGATGAACAGGGTCTAGGGCAGGCAGGGGCAGAGGATCAAATCCGGAGTGAGCACCACGGAGAGGAAGCTGTCCTGTAACCCCGCACCTCAGAGGCTTAAAGACATCTCAGAGTACCCTGCATGCCACACTCACCCTTATCCTTACCCCCGTGGGAACCATCTTTTAAGGTCCTTTGAAATAACTGTTTTCTCACAAACGTGTGTACAAAGGAGACTGGGAGGAAATTACTTTCGGTCAAAGTAATGAAGTTTGGCACTTTCTTCTTTTTTCTTAGGCTACTGTGAATACTAAGAGTGAGCAAAGCAAAACAAAAACCAGACCAACCACTGGACAGAACATCTGCTGGTCAAGCCCCACCGACTTGTTCAATGGAAGTCAATCATCACCCCCAAAGCACAGCAGGGTAATTCTCCTTCCCCTGCCACCCCACATCCCGGTTAGTAATCTGATCCTGCATAGCCTCTCCAGAAGACCCCTAAGTCCTCACTCGCTTCCCTATGTGGGTCAGGGGGCCTTGCGGATTCTGCTCAGTGTCTCTGGTGTCGCTCTAGAAGCCGCCTGTTGGCTGCTCTGTCCCCACGCCTGCCTCCTTTGACTTCACCCTGTGTGGGGCTGCTGAAGTGGACTATGTGAAAGCCTGGTTCTCTGGAACTCGTGCATCGGGTGCCTAACTCCCAGCACTGGCACAACCCTGTTCCTGCCATACGGCTGGACTCCCCGTGTGGATTTGCTTGCCAGACTTCCCTGCCCATTCTTCAGTTTATACCCACCTGTTGTCTAAGACACCTCAAAAATCACCTTTATGGTTCCTTTCCTGATTCCACTGTGAAACAATGACTATCTGTCCTTCATGTTCCAGCTGTGTGCCGCATGAACTTAGATCTCTACTCTGTTCCCGCCTATCCTTCATGTCCCAGAGGTGTGCCGCATGAACTTAGATCTCTACTCTGTTCCCACCTGTCCTTCGTATCCCAGCTGTGTGCCGCATGAACTTAGATCTCTACTCTGTTCCCGCCTCTCCTTCATGTCCCAGAGGTGTGCCGCATGAACTTAGATCTCTACTCTGTTCCCGCCTATCCTTCATGTCCCAGCTGTATGCCGCATGAACTTAGATCTCTACTCTGTTCTTGCTGACGGTAGGAACACCGATCGGCTGAAGGGTCAGTCTCCTTATACCAGGCTACAACCAATAGCCAACCTTCAACCCCGTGTGCCTGGTGGATTAATACCTGATGTGTTGCAGACACCGAGTTCTACTGAATTAATGAGTATACAAAATAATAGACAAGCAAATTATTCGTTCCTCCCAGGGAACAGCACCAAGAGTTGCCAGTAAGCACAAATGCCTTGCTCATTAAACAGGAAACACTTTTCTCTTGACTTTCCCAATCTGAAATTCCAAGAAAAATCCCATTTTTTTGTCAACTGAGAAAAATCAAATTTATTATAATACGTAAAGAAGTTCATACATCTTAAATCTTAATGCAGATTTTATATAATCAGTGAGTGGGGGTGGTGCGCAGATAAAGATCACATGCGCGCACACGCTCTTCTTCAGCGGCCTAAGAACTCAGTGCTGACACCCCACCCCACCCAACCCCACCCCCCCTTCCTTCCCCTCACTCCCCATCTACTCATCTGGCTCCAGGAATGGGATGGAGCCTGAGGATGGCTTGCAGAGGGGAACCTTTGGTCACATCCACTCATGGTCTCTTTGCTATGTGTGTTGTATGATTTCATCATTTCAGGGAAATTGAAAACCCCCACTTGCCTCCAAGACCCTCCTGTGAGCATCCCCAGGCATGGTCCTCAGGGACCTGTGCCTTTCTTCACCCATACCGACCCGCTTTCTTTGTACTGTGCAACTTGCACATTGTTTTCTGAAAATCTCCTTTTCATCCCTATCCTGTTTCTTCCTCCAGGGAAGCTGCCTTTTGTGGGAACAGCCTTACTTCAACCCTTACCACATTTACTACACCATTAGATACAAGCGGGTAGCTGGTGTTTTTTAAAATGTGCATCTTGAAGGTACATTGATTCATGCATATGGAGCATACTTAATGCCACTTTGATGAGTACTACGCAACTGAGCTTTGGTACAGCAGAAAAGGAAAGTATACTTCTTTTTAAAGAGCCATGACTAATTGCTTTGCGTCATATGTCTTTGCTACTGAGTGGATGAGGCTTATCTATAGGAATTTTAATCAGCTTCTTCACCTTCCTGGACAAGGCAATCCATTCTCATCTTTAGGCAGACAAGGTACAATATTCAATCAGGTAAATGTGTGTGGTTAGTGGGTCTGTAGATTCTTTCCATGGGAATAGTGTCATGCCTGGAAGAAAGGATCCTAGGTAACCCCTCCAAAGCCCACTTTGTTATATGATTACTAGTCTGCTCTCACCGATGATGTGGTCAGAGTCCTTCTTATTCTGCGCTTATTCTGCGCTCCCAATCTGCGCTCCAAGTCCACTTAGCATCATCTCTTTCTCCCAAGTTCCCCACAGAGAAAGGTCAGTGGGGATCTAGGGAAGTCAGCAGAAGGCAGGTGGGGCTCTGTGTACAGACCGTCTCTCCACGCTTACCTACAAAACCATACTCTCTCGATTATCAAATTCTTCAATATAGGAAGGTGAAATGGGAGAAAATGGCAATCAAAATTCTACTCATAATTCATAATTCTGCCTTTTCTGGAGAACAGGGCTTTTAAAAAATTATTACTTACCACAACTTATATGAATGTCAACTGCCCACAAAACACCTTAATGGAACATATGTATGTTCTATATGTAAAATATTACTTTCACCAGAAAGAATATTAAAATTCTTAGAAATATAAAGCCATCACCATACATACATATATTAGGGGTCCCAGAGAAAAGATTACTACAAAAATTCTGATTTATTAAGCCTTTATATTGTCTTTTTCTTAACCAGGTATCTATCAATTCCTCTGTCCCTGGCCAATTCCCTGTCCTCTACTGCTTAATTCTCACCTCTCCCTCATTGCCTTCTTGGCTACCTCAAGGCAGGCTTCAGCTGAGCCTGTGACACAGTTACCCTCCTCCTCCTAGGTATTGTCTTTGCTGATGGAGCCTACGCTATAGATAGTAAAGTACATGGCTAAATTTGCCTTATAATAATTTATTAAGTAGTTGTCACACTAATAAATTATTTTGGGTTTCGAGCAATGAGTCAGTTCCTAATTAGTCACCACAGGAGAAGAGGGGAGCAGTCAGAATTAACCCGAAGCTCCAAACTCAAATATAATTAATGTCTAGAAGTCTGTTAAGTCATGTTGGATTTCATAATTAATTGATGGACTGATGAAAAATGGTCCCCAAATAACAGCTTTCAGTGGAAGTGATGTCTCATTTTATTTACAAGAGTTTAATAGAAGGAAGGCTGGTCTTTCTTTGAGATAGGGTCTAATAGGATGAATAATACTGTGATCTTCTAGGAAATTGTTTTTGAAGAAAGAAAAAGTGATTTTACCTTTGCCCACCAGCTTGACAGCATGAAGTATGTGTTAACGTTTTCATCTCCAAATTGCTCAGCCACGTAGAGTCCCAGTGATCCATACTTGTCATAGATGTTTCTCTTTGACACGTCGGTGAGGATTGTGTGGGCATTGTTGATTTCTTTAAACTTCTCAGCAGCAGATGGGTCATCTGGATTCTTGTCTGGATGGTATTTCAGGGCTAATTTTCTTTTAAAATTAAAAGTAAGGAGGAAAAGCATTGGCTGTTTATCAAAAATTACAACGACATTTTACAAGAGGCAGGGTTCATTTGTACATCTCTTATTCACACACATACTCTGGGATGCTAAGTTTCACACTTGCCTAAAAAGTAAGTTCTCATTACATGACGTCATTTGTTCCTAGTGTGCAGAAACAGTCCAATTGTTTTTCCCTCACATCCTCCAAGGAATTCTCACTAGGTAGAAGCTGTGCCTGAAACAGCTTACTACTGGCAAATGAAGGTGATTGTAGTCCATCCCAACACATGGAGGTCTTTATGACTTCTGGTTTACACTAAAATTTCACCTAGAACCTGTAGAGCTACCTACAGTGGCAGAAATACATATTCTTAAAGTGTAAAATAAAAACTATTAAATCTATATTACCATGAACAAATATTTGGGTCCCTTCATAAGTCCCCTGCGTGTCTTTATCACCTTTTATGTTTCTTTTTTTTTCTTTTTCTTTTTCTTTTTCTTTTTCTGGGTGCTGTGATCAAGTTCTTTTTTCATATATTTTTATTTTATAATTAACTTAATTTCAGATATCAGCCATGGATTCCCCCGTCCTCCTTCCTCCCAGCTCTCCCCTCCAATCCATCCCCCATTCCCACCTCCTCCACCTTTTATGTTTCTAAACAAACCCATGATTTTTATTGCTTCCATGTACACAATTGACTTCTTTCCACAGAGTTCTTTCCACTTCCAACAGTCTGGGCATATACAATTATGGGTATAAGGCTCTTCCTCTTTCCCATGGGGATTATAAAGCTGATCCTGAGGATATGGTCTGTGTTCTGTGTTGGGGAATGTCTCGGATTGTTCTTAAATATACTCAGCTATGAAAAGCAACCTGTATGATGGATTTAACAAGTCAGCCACGTGGCATCCTAGCCAGCAGCCATTTTTCTCACTCCCCTCAAGGAACAATTCAAATGATTAAAGCCATGTTCAAAATCGAGCCTCCACCTTCTTTCCCCACTAAAAAGTCAATTATGTGACCCCAGCTGAAGTTCCACACGACTGTTCTCCCCCGCATGCCCATCCCGGGTGTGCACAGGTGCCAAGCACTGCTGGGTATGGTACTGAGTCAGACGCAATGGTTTGTCTTGGTGCTTTCCTAAAAGCCCGAAAGCAGAACAGAGAGTGCCACATATTAAAACCAACTGTAAACTAAGCAGAAAAATCACAGTATTTTAGGCATTAGAATTTGCTGATTAAGAAGTGGATGGAAGTCTATGCAAGCTAAGGATCAAGGATGCTGAAGAAGTACCAAAATACTTGGAAATGTAAATCGAGGTCTATAATCCATTCTAACCCTCATCTCAGAATAAAGAAAGAGAATAGACTAATCAGAGTTTATTAGTTTAAGTTTCATTGACCAAACTGTTTTTTGTTTGTTTGTTTTGCATTTTTTTTTTTTTTGCTTTCAGAGATGTTTGGAGTAACATTAATTTCTTACAGCTGAAACTACTGGTGTCATGGTTTTTAAATTCAGAATTGATAAGAAGTCTTTACTCCTAGCCCCAAATGCTTACCTTGTCATTTTTAAACTTTTTCAGTGTTTACTGTATGCCATCATTTGTGAGCTTGGTTTAAATATTCTCACAACAAGCATGAGAACGGGATTACAGTGGCCCCATTTCACGCACGAGAATACATAGATGCTAAAAAGTGAAGTATCCTGCCCAATATCACACAGCTAAAGGTCACATCTAGGCTTGAAACACAGGCAATTTGACTCTTAGGTCATACGTTCTTAAATTCTGCTCTATTGTGTCTTAAAATAAAAAAAATTGGCTTTAGTATGTGTGACATGAAAACCCACCAGAATATTCTGCAATCATCAATATACCCAACTCTGTCTTCAGAAGGCTTGTGCAATCTGAAAGCTGGCCAAGGCAAAAGTGGGCAGTTGCTTCTAGGGCCTTTTCTAGTGCTCTAGGCAGAAGCTTGTGTGGTGGTGGAGGACAGAACAAAGCGTGGTGTGTTCCTGATATACTTTGAGTGACAGCTGATGAGTTGGATGTGAGGATGAAAGAAAGATGGGGATGATAGCAAAGTTTGGCCCGAGCAAACAGAGTTGGGAATTACTGGTAATTAGATAGCAAGGGACTTTTTTTGTAGTGAGAAAGTTTTGATGTGGTCTAAAAGTTCTATTTTGGACATTTGAGATGCCTATTAAAATTCTAAGTGGATCTAGAGAGCTGTAAATCCAGAGTTCAGAAGGAAGATACTGTAAGAGACACATTTTGGGAAGTTCTTGGTAAGCAGCTGATGTTTACAATCATGAAACTTTGCAAGAGAGTCCAAAGAAAGCAGTTCACGAAGTTCAAAGACAGGATTGAAGAAAAACTGGCCATGTAGAGTGGGCACACTTACAATCCCAGGACCAAAGAGATCAAGGCAGGAGACTCTTGAGTTCAAAGCCAATCTGTCTCAGAAATCAAAAACATTTTAAACCGAACAATAAAAAGCAAGGATCAATGAAACAGAAGGAAAAATCTGGACAGTGCACAGTCTTAGGATCCAAGGGAAGGGCATTTCAAAGACAAGCAATCTCTGAGAAGGCTGATTCAGGGAGGCTGTGAAAGCCAGGGACTCAGAACTGACCACTGGGTGATTTAGTAACTTGATATTCTCGTGATGCACACACACACACACACTGTTGGTTATTTGGCGGCGCTCTTACCCAGCGAGGAAATGTCACGAAACATGACAGAATCCACTAACAAGAGTTTTATTAAGATAAGGGAGAGAGACAGATGTGCACAGGCCTGTGGAAAAGACACGTGAGTAAAGATGGAGCTGGGAATATGGCACCGGCTTATAAAGGCTGGGCCGCGCCTGCGCACACAGGCCCATGTGGCTATTCCACACATGTGTGTAGATCACATGGTTGCGCTGCATGCTTTACGCAACCATGCAAAGCCACAGGGTCCTGGTCACGAGAGATGTTTTGACCCAGAAATTGTAAGGCGGAAGTGCCTAGGTCTGCCCAGCATGCGAAACCATGCCCAACCGTGGGGGGCATGTTGTAAATCCATTTCACACACACACACACACACACACACACACACACGCACACGCACACGCACACGCACACGCACACGCACACGCACACATGCATGCACTAGAGGGGGGGGTCTAAAAGAGAGAAAGGTTTAAAAAAAGTAGGAAATAGGAAAATGGAAGGTAACAACCAAAACTGACAGTGTTTATTAACAGTAAATTAACAGTGCTTAGGATTATAGGTGACTCTTTGCTTTGTTTTTGTCAAAGCATCTTGAAGCTCTGGTGGCAACTCTGTTCTTTTGGGACATCTGGAAATTCAGGTTTTACTGCCTTAAATGACCTGTCACTGAGCCAGAGGGGATTAGAGAAGTTTAAAGAAATGTCCTCGGAATAAATACAGTGTTCACTGTCTCAGCCCCTCAAGTGGATTCTTCAAGCACATGTATCTTTATGGCATAACACTCCTGGAATTCTCACCATGCATAGTGTTTCCCCGGGTTAGATCTCAAGACACCACGTGCCATCCAATCAAATGGAAGGGCTACGACCTCTGCCCGGAAGGGAAAATGGTTCTGATAGGCCTTGCCTTGTTTCCAGGCTTCAGCGGGACACTACACACTCTACCCAGACTCCGGCAGAAGCCTGGCTTCCTGTCATTTTTTACCCTGTTGGATCTCCGTCAGCTCGCAAGGGCAGATGCACTCAATCCATTTATCACACCCCTCTAACAATGGTGTTGGCTGATTTGGAGGGCTGGAACGCCTCCATTTGTAGCAAGGCCAAGTCCTGGCTGTCAGTGGTGTTTTGACTCTTCTTGGCAGATGCTCTTGGCTCTGAGATTCCTTGGCACAGATGGTAAAGCAGGGCCAGATGCCAGAATCTTACAACTGCTTAAGCAGGTGAAGCCACTGAGTGTCCCACCTTCTTGGGGATTATCTCCAGAGCCAGCAAACATGGAGTGGACCCAAGGGGTGAGGAAGCTTGAACTACATTGAAATAGAACAATCGCCTGTTTGTGCTAAGGGTATTTCTAGTTTTATATGTACGAGTGGTATGGTATTCAACGAGAATGCAAGACTTCATCTCCAAACCTTTGTGTGCTTTCCAAAAGTGTCCCGTAAGGGAGATAAACTGGTCATGGCTAACACTCTCGGATCAGACCTACTTCCTACCCTCCCCAGCCTCCAGTCTCCTGGGGCAGATCCTGATGGGTTCACCCAGCTCTCCCTCCATGGGTTGGAATGTCAGAGGAGAACTTTGGAGGCATCCTCGGCCACATTCCACTGTGCATGGCTGTGTCTCCAGATGCCTTTCTCCTGCTCAATACATGCCCCCCCCCCCTTCCTCAGATTCTTTCTGTGGCTACCATTTCAAAGATACCTTAATTTCCTTTGGACCATGAGACTTGTGCCCCTTCCGATCTCTCAGAAATCTACCTGCATGCTGCTGAAAAGAAGATGGAGCCATGGATTTCTTCCTGTATTCTAAAACTACCCTCACGGCAGAGCCGGCTAGCTAGAGTCAGTACCAAGTGGGCTTTTTGTTCCTTTTAATTTTGACATTAAAAAATCTTGTTGGGTTTTTGTTTGTTTTTATTCTTTTTGTGTTACAGGAGTTTATTTATTTAATTTTTTGAGACAGAGAAAATGTTACATGTTGGAGGGTAGAACACAAACATGAAGTTAGGTGAGGAGGATTGGGAGAGGGGGAAAACTGACCAAACTATAGTGTATGAAAAAAAAATTAATTAGAAAAATATAGTCCCACTGGGCAGTGGTGTGGTGGCACCCAGCACTCAGGAGGCAGATCTCTGTGAGTTCGAGGCCAGCCTGGTCTACAGAGCAAGAGCCAGGACAGGGACCAAAACTACACAGAGAAACCTTGTCTCAACCCCCATCCCCCCCCAAAAAAAAGTTCTGCTCTGGAGTTGCAGAGTATATGACAGGTAAGTAT